TCACTATTTTTATCAGTCAATAGCAAATGCATAGTCACAAGAAACATGACTAAGAATTCATAAAAGCTGTTCCAATTTTCCCAAAACATACAAGATAACTCTCAGGAATTGCACACTAAATTTATAAGTAGTAGTTATTCCTCACCCCAATAAACTCTCTTCCCCCTCAGTCATTCACCTTTATTCATCCTTCATGTCTCAACTTAGAAATTGCTTACTGTTAGAAACCTTTCCTAATCACCCTCCTCAAACTGAGATAAATGATACTCCTACATGTTTCCATAGAATCCTGTTCTTCCCTGGTCCTATAATTGCATGTGTCAATTATCTTAGACTCTCTCCAAATTATGTAATTGACCAGACAGAGGTTAGAAAATGATGATGAAGTTTAACACAAGGTAAGATAAGATGGCATAGCAAGAGGAGGAGGAGCCAACTCCCTCTCCCTCTCCCTCTCCCTCTCCCTCTCCCTCTCCCTCTCTCTCTCCCTCTCTCTCTCTCTCTCTCTCCCTCTCTCACTCTCTCGCTCTCGCTCTCTCGCTCACACACACACACACACACAGATGAAATGTTAATTCATTCAGTCACAATTCAACTAGAACATATACTTGTTTGAGAATCCCTCAGGCCAGTAACTCATAAAAAGTATTTATATTGTTCACTTTTTTCCCAAAGATTTAAAAATACCTCAGGCAGTCACAAGTCCAACAGAAGTTTTGGTTCTGATAACTCTGTCACAAGCTTTCCCTAAAAATACATGCTCTCCAACCCCCAGGCCATAGACTGGTACCGGTCCGTGGCCTGTTAGGAACCAGGCCACATAGCAGGAGCTGAGCAGCGGGCAAGCAAGTGAAGCTTCATCTATATTTACAGCCGCTCCCCATTGCTCACATTACTGCCTGAGCCCCGCCTCCTGTCAGATCAGCAGCAGCATTAGATTCTCATGGAAACGCAAACCCTACTGTGAACTGCGCATGCGAGGGATCTAGGTTGCGTGCTCCTTATGAGAATCTAATGCCTGATGATCTGAGGTGGAGCTGAGGCGGTGATGCTAGCGCTGGGAAGCGGCTGCAGATACAGATTATCATTAGCAGAGAGGACTGACTGCACAGAGACCATAATAAATCAACTGCCTGCAGACTCATATCAAAACCCTGTCAGTGAGTGGCAAATGACAATTAAGCTGCATCTTATGGAGTAGACTGGACATAAGCAACACACATAAGCAACATTCGGGTGTCACTGTCTCCCATCACCCCCGGATGGGACCACCTAGTTGCAGGAAGACGAGCTTAGGGCTCCCACTGATTCTGCATTATTGTGACTTGTATAATTATTTCATTATCTATTACAATGTAATAATAATAGAAATAAAGTGCACAATAAATGTAATGCACTTGAATCATCCCAAAACCATCCCTCCACCCCTCCACCCCCACCGTCCAGTCCGTGGAAAAACTATCTTCCAAGAAACTGGTCTCTGGTGCCAAAAAGGTTGGGGACCGCTGCTCTAGAACTTTGTTTATTCACTTATAAGGCCCATCACTGATGTAATGGAGGCTGCACAGTGCTGTGAAAGAGCAGAGCTCTCGAGCTCTCGAACATCGGTTCTACCAGTCACCACCAGCTTTGCGACCTAGAGTAAATTCCTCAACCTCTCTGAACCCTGCTTTCCTTAACTATAAAACAGGAATATCTCCTACCTTGCAGCATTGCTATCAGGATGAGAAACAACATATACAATGCATCCAATAAACTACCTGAATCACAAGTGAATAGTTAATTGTTTATTAAAGAAACACACATACAGAGATATTTCAAAACACATACGAACTAGCTATCACTCTTTTTCCTCCCACCACGAGATTTTTAATTTTCTAATAAAAGTAAAAACTCCTTTCTTGTAAAAACAAAACAAAACTAAACTAATAACTAACTTTATAATTGTTAAAGATGGTGCATGTGTGTTCATTACACAATTCACCTCTACTTTTGTGTATGTACAAAATCCAATTGAGAGAATTTAGTTACTTCCATTCTTATTGCTTCAATTATTTTAGTTTAAATTAACCAATGGCCCTTCGATAATATTAAGGATCTAACTTCCCCCAGAACCAAAACAAAAAAGAAAAAAAAAAGTTCCCAAAAGTTAACAAATGGTTTGGAGGGTATGGTTAGCTGAAGCCAGAGATTAAAAAGTCAAATTATACATTCACCATTAATCGTTCTATGCTAAATATATCTGGGAAGAAATCAGGACTCTGACATATAATTTGGAGTCACAGCTCCACCATCCAGCCTATCAACGGTGGATTATTCCAGTTACTGCAGTAGATACTTACTGGACTTCACTGTGCTAGGGACATTGGAAAATAGAAAAATGAGTAAGTTGGGGGTCCTTGTCCACTAGATGCTTCCAATTTTGTGTTACCTCCCAAAATCTCATCCTCATGCCACCCACCCCTTGACTATCACCTGCTGTCTCCCCAGGTCATTTCCTCTGCTGCCCTGATCCTCAATTCCCTTACCCCTGTCTCTGTCATGCTTGCTGAGCACAATCTCAAACCACTCACTCCACTCCAGCCATACTAACTTCTTAGCCATTCCTTAAAAACTTCAAGTACACTCCTACCTTCATACTTTCCTGATTCTTGGCCTGAAACAGTCTTCCCCACTTAGATACACAGTATGTTCCCTCACTTTTTTCAGGTGTCTGCTCAGATGAGATCTTCTATGTGACTGCCATAGAAATTCAGCAACCACCCCTGCCAGATACTCCATTATACTGCTTTATTTTACTCCATTTATTACCATCTAACGTATTCCAATTTAGCATCAATTCTAACAAGCATTTTTCTTCCACTGTAAGATAAATTCTGACTTTAGAAATGTTAAAATGAATAAGGTCCTACACTCTTTGACCACCAGGTGGCAGTCATCAGGTGTCACTGTCTCTAAATGCACAACCTTAAAAATAGTTGTTCTTAGTATCAGTTCTTTCGAGCTAGGCCCACTGTTGGCACTACCTGTGCTCAGTCTGCCATTTAAAATGTATCTCTTGATTTAAATTGAAACAAAAAATCCTATATAGGGAATTCCCTGGTGGTCCGGTAGTTAGGACTCTACACTTTCACTGCCGAGGGCGCAGGTTCAATCCCTGGTGGGGGAACTAAGATCCCACAAGCTGGGCGGTGAAGACAGCTTGATGAAGAGGAAAGAGTAGTAGAGACTTGAAGATGGAAGGTCTGGACCTGGGGTTCTGGTCCCTCAGTTGTGTGACTCTGCAAAAATCACTGAGTCTCTCTGGATGTCAGTTCCTTAAGCTCTACCCCCTCTACCTTACAAGTTGTTCTAAGGATCAAAATGAGACAACATATGTAAAAGGATTCTGTGAATATAACACATCACTGATATCCATTTATTCATCTAACAAATATTCACTGAGCATCTACAATATTCTAGACTCTAGGGTTTCAGAGGAGAACAAGACTGGCAAGGTTCCTGCTCTCATGAAACTTGCATTCTTGTAGGTGGGAGACAGATAATAAACAGATAAATGGACAAGAATTTCCAACAGTGACAAATGCTCTAAAAAAAAAATAAAACAGGGTGATGTAAAAAAGAGTGGAAAGGGAACTACTTTAGATAGAATAGTCATAGAAGGCCTAGCTGAAGTGACATAGCTCAGACTTCAAAGTAGTATTCAGCCAAGTGAAGAAGCGGGGCAACAGGTGCTGTGGCATAAGGAACAAGACATGTTTGGCACTGGAAAAATGAGGTAAGCCTGGAACACAATGAGTGAGGAAAACTGTTAGCAGATGAGGTTGAAAAGGTGGACAGGGGCCAAATCCAGGATGGTCTTGCACTGTTAAAAGGATATTATCAGTACCAAAAATCTCTTCTTTTTATCAACATGGCCAAATAAATTGAGCCATTTATGCAAATATCTAGTGTACCCATTATCAAAAGTAGGACATTTCTAACTGTGCAATGCTATCACCAAAAAACAAGTGGAAGGAGCCTACGCAATGGCCCTAGACATAAAATTCTTAAGAACTACATACAAAGGTATCATTTATTATGATGTTTGGTAAGTCAAACAGTCAAAAACCTCGACAGGGGACTTCCCTGGTGGCGCAGTGGTTAAGAATCCACCTGCCAATGCAGGGGACACGGGTCCAAGCCCTGGTCCGGGAAGATCCCACATGCCGAGGAGCAACTAAGCCCGTGCGCCACAACTACTGAGCCTGCGCTCTAGAGCCCACGAGTCACAACTACTGAGCTCGTGTGCCACAACTACTGAAGCCCACGTGCCTAGAGCCCATGCTCTGCAACAAAGAGAAGCTACCGGGATGAGAAGCCCACACACCGCAACAAAGAGTAGCCCCCGCTCACCGCAACTAGAGAAAGCCGGCGAGCAGCAACGAACACCCAACACAGCCAAAAATAAAATTAATTATTTTTTAAAAACCTCAATAGTAATAGAAGTGAAAAAATTATAGAATGATTTAAAAAAAACACACAAGTTTTTAACAGAAAAAATATCATTTCACTCAGCAAATATTTATCAAGCACCTACTTTGTGCCAGGCATGCTCTAGGCACTAGAGATACAACAATGAACAAATCAATGAAGATTTAAGCAATAACTGAGCAGAAGCTTTAACTGTAGAATTATCATAACACCAAAACTGAACTTCAACTTTTTTTTTTTTTCTTTTTTTTTTTTTGCAGTACATGGGCCTCTCACTGTTGTGGCCTCTCCCGTTGCAGAGCAAGGCTCCGGACGTGCAGGCTCAGAGGCCATGGGTCACGGGTGCAGCCGCTCCGCGGCATATGGGATCTTCCCAGACCGGGGCACGAACCTGTGTCCCCTGCATCGGCAGGCGGACTCTCAACCACTGCGCCACCAGGGAAGCCCCGACTTATGTTATGTCTCAGCATTTTCTAAAATAGGAGTTACAGGTTTAGTCATATGTACCTGTCAAAAAGCCAACTTACCAAGGAATTCTTAATCACTTCACTCCTATAAAATTCTGGAAAAGAAGAAAAAGAACAATAAGTGACATGGAAGAAAATAAACTCACTAACTCTTAATCCTACAAATTTTTTAACATATGCTCTAGTAAAAACACTTAAAACATTTTCAAGGGATCTATTCTCTACATATATTTATCTGCAAAAATTTAAATTAAAATAGAAATAATGATTAAATAAATGATTAAATAAATAATGATTAAATAAGTCAACTAAGGATAGTTGACTTACAATGTTGTGTTAGTTTCCGGTGTACAGCGAAGTGATTCAGTTGTACATATATATACATATTCTTTTTCATATTCTTTTCCCATTATGGTTTATTATAGGATATTGAATATAGTTCCCTGTGCTACACACAGTAGGACCTTCTTGTTTTAAATTAAATGTTTTAAAGGGAAAAAAACATTAGTAAAGAAAGGTCAAAATCTGTTAAGATTTAATTTAGTGATTTTTCCCTTACTGGCTCCTTTTACCCCAGATTCTAAGGTAAGCCCTTAAAAACTCAGAGTTCATTCTCCCTTACCAACTGCCATTGTCTACAGCCAATTCTATACTCTCTGTTTTTCTCAAACATCTCCAATAATTATTCATTGTAGTACTGTGGAAAGAACACTCATCTAGCAACCAGGGAACCTAAGTTCTAGTTCTACTTGTTATTAACATTCTGCTTCTCATTTCCTTGAGCCCATTTCTTCATTAGACAATTCTGACAATCAGACTAATAATCAAGGTCCTCTAAGCACTAAACTTTCAAGATTCTACAAACCTTCATTTACATTGTAAATGTTACAAAACCTGAAGATACAATCAAAAGAGAGACTGTGTCAGAGGTTCAGACAGACATTCTTCTTTTTTTTTACATCTTTATTGGAGTATAATTGCTTTACAATGGTGTGCTAGTTTCTGCTGTATAACAAAGTGAATCAGTTATACATATACATATGTTCTCATATCCCTTCCCTCTTGCATCTCCCTCCCTCCCACCCTCCCTATCCCATCTCTCTAGGTGGTCACAAAGCACCGAGCTGATCTCCCTGTGCTATGCGGCTGCTTCCCACTAGCTAGCTATTTTACATTTGGTAGTGTGTATATGTCCACGCCACTCTCTAGCTTTGTCACAGCTTACCCTTCCCCCTCCCCATATCCTCAAGTCCATTCTCTAGTAGGTCTGTGTCTTTATTCCTGTCTTACCCCTAGGTTCTTCATAACATTTTTTTTTCTTAAATTCCATATATATGTGTTAGCATACGGTATTTGTCTGTCTCTTTCTGACTTACTTCACTCTGTATGACAGACTCTAGGTCTATCCACCTCATTACAAATAGCTCACTTTCGTTTCTCTTTATGGCTGAGTAATATTCCATTGTATATATGTGCCACATCTTCTTTATCCATTCATCCGATGATGGGCACTTAGGTTGTTTCCATCTCTGGGCTATTGTAAATAGAGCTGCAGTGAACATTTTGGTACAAGACTCTTTTTGAATTATGGTTTTCTCAGGGTATATGCCCAGTAGTGGGATTGCTGGGTCATATGGTAGTTCTATTTGTAGTTTTTTAGGAACCTCCATACTGTTCTCCATAGTGGCTGTACCAATTCACATTCCCACCAGCACTGCAAGAGGGTTCCCTTTTCTCCACACCCTCTCCAGCATTTATTGTTTCTAGATTTTTTGATGATGGCCATTCTGACTGGTGTGAGATGATATCTCATTGTAGTTTTGATTTGCATTTCTCTAATAATTAGTGATGTTGAGCATTCTTTCACGTGTTTGTTGGCAGCCTGTATATCTTCTTTGGAGAAATGTCTATTTAGGTCTTCTGCCCATTTTTGGATTGGGTTGTTTGTTGTTTTGTTATTGAGCTGCATGAGCTGCTTATAAATTTTGGAGATTAATCCTTTGTCAATTGCTTCATTTACAAATATTTTCTCCCATTCTGAGGGTTGTCTTTTGGTCTTGTTTATGGTTTCCTTTGCTGTGCAAAAGCTTTGAAGTTTCATTAGGTCCCATTTGTTTATTTTTGTTTTTATTTCCATTTCTCTGGGAGGTGGGTCAAAAAGGATCTTGCTGTGATTTATGTCATAGAGTGTTCTGCCTATGTTTTCCTCTAAGAGTTTGATAGTTTCTGGCCTTACATTTAGGTCTTTAATCCATTTTGAGTTTATTTTTGTGTATGGTGTCAGGGAGTGATCTAATCGCATACTTTTACATGTACCTGTCCAGTTTTCCCAGCACCACTTATTGAAGAGGCTGTCCTTTCTCCACTGTACATTCCTGCCTCCTTTATCAAAGATAAGGTGACCATATGTGCATGGGTTTATCTCTGGGGTTTCTATCCTGTTCCATTGCCATGTTCTTGGATTGGAAGAATCAACATTGTGAAAATGACTCTACTACCGAAAGCAATCTACAGATTCAATGCAATCCCTATCAAACTACCACTGGCATTTTTCACAGAATTAGAACAAAAAATTTCACAATTTGTATGGAAACACAAAAGACCCTGAATAGCCAAAGCAATCTTGAGAACGAAAAACGGAGCTGGAGGAATCAGGCTCCCTGACTTCAGACTATACTACAAAGCTACAGTAATCAAGACAGTGTGGTACTGGCACAATAAAAGACAGACATTCTTAACAACCCTCCAACATTCCCTCTGCTGACCCTGCCGAAGTCACTTCTGTGGTGCTCTGTCAATGTAGAGCCTACAAGGACCCTGTATCCTTATGTTGCTATAGGGAAATATTTTCCAAGGGTGATGCACATACCACTGATACATGAGACCATTTTAGGTGATACATGAACAAACTTTATTTTTTTCTAACATATTGAAATGTACGTCTCATCTATCCAACCCCTAATTGTAAGCTCCATAAGGGCAGTAACATTTGTTTTTGTGTAACTGCTGTCTCCTCAGCATTTAAACCTATTCCTGGCACAGAGTAGGCACTCAATAAATTTTTTCTTGAATCAACAACTTCATAGATTATGCTTAGACATGAGTTTAGACATAATGAACTTTAAAAAATATGTTAAGTATGTAGCATTATAGATGAAACTCAAAGGCAGTGAAACTTGTTGAAGTAGTCCACAGGACTGAAGTTTGGGAACCATCAAGCAGTAAAGGAAAAGTGGACCTGGATATAAAATTCTTATGGGCAAGCTCTCTTGGTTAAAATGTTTCTTTCCAAAACATACCATCTACACTACTTTATGCTTATCTTCCCTTAAAAAATTAATAATAATAAGGATAATCGTTCTATTTTGTGGTGAGATAGTCACAATGAGTGAAAAAAACAGGTTCTATGAGAGAATTTACAACAGGATCCAAAGTTTTACAATTATGTTTACAATATTTATTTTAGGTGATAGGGTTGGGCTGCTTACTTTTATTTTTTGCTTGGCAGTTTTCTAATTTTTCTATTTTGAACAATTATTTTAATTAAGAGAAGGGATAATTCTAATTGTTTTTAAAAGGAAACTTCTATTGATGAACATTTAAGTTACTGCTAATTTTTGGATATTTCAAGTAATATTATAAATAATCTTTGAAAGATATATACCCTAAGACATTTGAATCTATAAGATAAACTTTTAGAAGTAAAATTGCAAGATAAAAGGAAAAATACAGTTTGAATTTGATAGATATTGCCAAATTGTTCTCTAAAAATGTTGTACCACTTTACAATCCCACTTAACACTAGCAACCCTAAGTATTATTCTTTTCATTTTTTCCCAAATGGTTAACCAATGCCAATCATAAATTGACTACATAAATGTACATATGTATGTATGTGTGTATATATATATGTTCTTTTTTAATATGCATACATATACTCTAATTTATATGTACCAAGTATGTTATTAGAAAAAAAAAAGACTTTGTGCTAAAAATGTGTTGTTTGTTATTACAAGGTACTTTCACTTAATACATTTTTGTATTTAACACACTTTTGTATTGTCTGAATTTGCTGCAAGTAGGTAACACTTTTAAAATCAGTGAAAAAAATTAAGATATTCCTCTTTCCTTGTGAGAGAATTCCTCAGCTTAATCTATAAAGTGTCTAAATTAAACAGTCCCCAAAATATGTATCTCCAGCTCTAAGAAGATGAACAGCATCATTATTTCTTCCAAAACTTTGCTGATTAACTGTATATATAAATGAAACTAAACAATTTGCCTTCTCCATTAGATCCTCAAAATGGACTTGCTAATTTAAATAGAGAGAGGTCAACAAAGGAGCCATACAGTTTGGAAAGGAATCACTGAGTCTGAGGTAATTTCTAAAGTGTTAAATGTGGGCCTACACTGTCTATCACTCTGTTACACTTACATTATTGTCAATGAAATTAGCAGCATGGTGCACAACAGAATAGCGAATTTAGGAAAATTTAGAGTAAAAAAATAGTTCGGTCCCCCAGTGCACCATGTGTAAGCTTGACCCTGGACAAGTCAATTAACTTTTCTGGGCCATAGTTTCTTCACCTTTCAAAGGAGAATGACACCTAGAAAATAAAAGGGCTGTTATGAGGCTCAAATGAAATAGTGAATACTTTATAAGCTATAATTTTTATAAATACAATTCTATGAATTTTTATTAATTCGACTTGAGCAAAACTATTAGACATGTAAATTTTCAAAAAGAATGTAAATTTTCAAAAAGATATCATCCAAGACTAGCTCTACATGAAAGGGTCTATTAGATACAAATGCTTCTCTATCCATGCTAAGACCTAAACAAACAAAGCAAGGAGAGATTGCAGAACATGGTTCCAATGGCATGTTTTGGCTGTTAAACAGCATTCCATTTATTCAACAAATGCTTTTTTAGTATCTCAACCTCACTCATAATAGAAAAAATACAAACTTTAACTCTACTATGAAACTATTTTTCACCTATCAGATTGGCAAAATTTCAGAAGTCTGACTGCACAGTCTGTTGGTCAGGCTGTGGGGAAAAGGGTACCTGTACCTAGCAAGTGGGAATGTCAAC